TCCCGGGAAGCTGAGAATGTTTCTGAGTGTTCTATGGTCTGCTGGGGTCATAATATAGTGTAAAGCGCATAGAGCTTGCTGTCGAGCGGGGTTATACGCTATACAAATGCTATATATTTTTGTCATTATTAAGTATAAGAATGCAATACTTTGGTCATACAAAACGCCATCTGATCATAATGAAAGAACTAGAAGAAGGTAAGATGTGGGACACAAGGGCAAGGTTGGACAAAGAGCAAACTTGAACCGTCAACACCAAGGCTAGGACTGGCCTAGATATGACAGAGTGCATTACAGCCTCTGGCGAACCGAAAGTAATTACAGCTCTAGTCATAACAGGTCAACATCTGAGCAAGAGATGACACCTCCAGGTATCTACAAGGACGTTTTCATTCATAAATTGGGGGCGCAGTATTTACTTATTTTTAAAAGTAATCTTCATTTTTTTTCAGTGTGGAGGGGGGATAGCCAGTGATAAAGATTTTAGAGTTTTGTCCATTATAACTGATGTTTTAATTGTAGTGCTGGGGAAAAGTAAGTTTTAACTTTAGTTTGAGTTTTGCGGCACTTTGTAAATGATATGGTTATACAAGTGCCGAAGATTAGAGGTGTTACAAGAAAGTAACAAATACAAAAGAAGGGATAAAGACGATAGAAATAATATTATGACAGGAAAGAAAGAGAAAAGCACCCGCGGGGAAATGTCAGGCTGACAGACAAAAGGACCTGAGGGAAAGTTAAGAAGCAGGACCTACCTATGACGTCTTCCAGTCGTCTGCAAGGGCAGTCACTGGGATCTTTTAGTTTTAGCTAGAGTTTTATGACGGGAGCTTGCTTTGCAATGAGGTAAAATAAGTGCCGAAGATAAGACGCGTTACAAGAAAATAGCGTATAACGATAAGAAGGAGGAGCGATGCAGACGGAATGTGTTTGATAAGAAAGAAGGAACAAACCACGTCAGAGCACTAACCAACCACCCACAGACTCTGAGAAGCTTTTGTCTATTTTACAGACAGTAAGAGATGGCACATCGAACACACTTGGAACTTTCGCTGCCCTTTCTATAAGTCTCCTAATTCTGTGGGCACCGCGAGATAGGTCAAAGGTCAGGACTTGGAGTTCAACTCTTCTATCCCACCAAACCGGAAATGCAGAGAAACCGTTCCTCAAAGGCTACTTTACGACATGAGAGACGATGTGACGGGAAGTGACAGTAAATAGTTCTTGTCTTTCCTGCGCGTGCGCAACCGTATTTGCAGTCTTTACGGCTCATGCGTGGGTATACATTTCTTCTGGGGTTTTTTTGGGTTTTTTTTGTTTTTTAATAATAAAAATAAACGCCACGCGTTTTCAGCGAGATTAGAGAGGGGAAAAGGTCGCCATTTGAAAGCCAATCCTGCTCGTTAACACTTGGCAACAATTTTCCGGGTGGTTTGGAAATGCGAGGAATATTCTCCAAAACTGTTGCTCCCGTAAACAAATAGAAGCGTTTGTTATGACTCGGGGAATCCAAAGCATGATTTTCTAGCTACGGCATCTTAGGTTAACGAGTGACGTAAGGTGGGGGATTTCGCAGGTCCTTCATTCCTGTGTTGTGATTGGCGAATTCGGAACTGTGTTTCAGAGAGAGAGAGAGAGAGAGAGAGAGAGAGAGAGAGAGAGAGT